AAAGCTTTAAAAGACGAGGACAGGACATTTAGAGCCACAAGGAATGGGAGACCTTATGGAAGTTAGCCCAAGATGAGCTTCCTCCACACGTCTGACATGTGAGTACAGCACACGGGAATAAAGCAGGAGAAGGCCCGGAGTCAACGTGGAATAGCTGAGTTGATCAGCTAACAAGGGAAGAGGGCGCTGAAACCTTGTATTTTAAAGAAGAAAATGAAGCAGTTAGTCTAACATTGCTCAATTCCTCTTCCCACTGTACACCTGGGGAACGAGCCGCAGAATGGCTACATTGACAACATGGGCACCCTGGGAGTGATGGAACTGCCCGCCTGGCCACGTCTTGGGGCATTCATGTAACTAAAAAAGAAGCACAAGAAATGCGACTAAAACTTTGCCCAACTGTCCCATTGTCATTACGTGGGGGAAAGGTAGCGTGGCAGGTATGGCAATGTGATTTCATAAGCCCCCTCCCTCGAACTTCCCAGAAGCGACAGTATGTGTTTGTAGCTGTAGAAGTTATCACAGGAATAACATTTGCCTGTGCACAAATATCCTGAGCTACAGCCCAGGATATTTGTGCAGCACTGGAAACTCTGCTAGCTGTGTATCCACCACCCACAGAACTACAGAGCGATAATGGCTCTCACTTCCGCAATCATCTTGTGTATGACTGGATCACAAAACATGGCATGTTATGGACATCTCCCACCCCACACCATCCACAGTCTAACAGATTGGTAGAGTGAGCCAATGGCATCCTTAAATGCAATTTGCGGTTAGCTGCTGGCCTAGCTCTTAAGGACTGGGACTTGCACCTGGATTGAGCTATCAATTGGGCCAATAACCGACCCCGTCTGGGAGGTAGCCCTATGCAACAGGCCTTTGGATTGGGTGGTCCCTGCGAGCCAGCAGTAGAGCAACCTAGGGGTGGTGACCTGGGAAAGCTCCAGGCAGGAGATCGGGTGGTAGTGAAGCATCCTCAGGGAGATAAATGGGAGGGGACAGTATTGGCAAAAGGTATGCATAATACATGGTGGGGATTTAAGTCAGATTCATCTAATGGGAGCCAAGCTCCTTGTTGTCTTGTTACTACAGATTTGATCTGTCCACAAATGCAGCCATAGCCATTCCTAATTGAGCCTGCCACTGAAGACAAGTCCTGCTCTGTCACCTGTCTGAATTGACTGGCACCATGAAGTGGTGGACTGTTATAACTGTATTCTTCTTATTAATGCTTTTTTGTGTTTCCTGGGTAGGGCGTGGCTACTATCCTTCTTATTACCCAGATATTAGATATTAATGAATTTGCTCCTGAAGACCTAAAGGAGTGGCTTGACCCTGAAGAGCATTCCCTAGAAACGTGCTCAGATGACCTTCACGTGGTCCAGCCGCAGTATCCATATTGAAAGAAACCCACCACCCCGGAGCAAATGAAATCCTGGTCTCTGAGTAGAAGAAACAGGATAGTTGACTGGCAAGGTGGTAATTGTCAGTGCACTTGTGGTCCAGTTATTATCTTACATTCCCTACCTGAAGGCTGTAATGACTAACTGTGGGAGGGGAGGTAATTGTTGTAACTCTGCTCGTTTATGGGTTTGTTGTTCTATACTTCCTGAGGGAAACCCTATTGAGCTCAATGCCCCTGAGTCTGTGCCCCCAATTGTGCATTCTGCATCTGTTCAGCCTCTTGAGCCACTGCGTTTATGGGAGAATCTACCCCCTCCCATTCCTATGGCTGATGACACACTAGTGATGGTGTGAAACCCACTAGATGGAAACAGGTTGGAACAAAGTTATTACATGGTTTGTGAATCATACCTACATAGGGGTGTGGTGGAATGGTACCCACTTTAATACAACTAAAAGGAGGCTTTATCCGCAAGTCTCCATCACTTATCCCCCTTAGTTCAAATCAGTAACACCTTAATTGGATTAGGGACCCTATGGAGAGGATAGCCTCTCAGCCCACCTAACATGACCTGCGTACATGAACTATCTAACGTGTCATATGTGCGTCAGTAGGGCAACTTGTTTGTTGGGAAGGACCAGGTCTCTTGCTGTATGAAAATGGTACCACCTGGACTTCGTGCAATTTGTGTTGCTTAGGAGCTAAGAGTTGAGTTGTTGCTCTGCTGCAATTAAGTAACCATACTATTGCCCTGAAATGTCCAGAAATTTCCTCTGAGACTATACCTCTCAACTTTACGATACCCACCTCATGGGTATCAGATGTGGACGTGCCACCGTTAGACTGGAATAAGGTAAAAGATAAGCTGCAAAGCCTTGAGGCAAAAGCCTGGCAAGGAACTCAGTTGGCCCTCCTTGCTCGGGAGGGTGGGCAGATCATCAGTTTGGCTGTCAACGTGCCCGAGCCACGTAAATGATACGATGTGATTTGCACTTCTTGCATGTCACCAGGTATCACTTCAACAACATGGCTGACCTTCTTAAGCATCATAGTGCTCTGTATTGCCCTAGTGGCAACAGCTAAATGGTGTTTTAACCGTTGTTGTCGTAAATCTGTTCATACTATGCAAGTTAAATTTAAAGATCCCTCCCCATTCCCTGATGTAGCGCATGTAGCTTTAGCATCTCAACTGTAGCTATCACAGTGCTTCAGCAAGCAAGGGATGGAGTGTGACAGCTGAAAATTGTGTCTAAGGTGCTTGCTGAATGCTGTGAAAATTAGACCAAGTGTTTTTCTGTCATTTGTTCAAATATGAAGCTATATGTTGTTGTTAAGAGCCTAATGAAAGTCAAAGATTGGTGAGGCCTTGTATGTAATAAGGCCTAGTAAATTTAACAAAGCCTTGTAGAAGTAGTAGGCTCTGTGTAGATGGTGCTCTTCTCTTCCAAACAGAAGGTATAGGTGGCTAGGCATGAGTGCTGTGAGGGATCTGCAGCTGTCAGTCAATTCCCTCTATCCCCCATAAAGTCAGGCCAGGGCACAGAATATCTTATCTATATATAATGTCAGAAGAGGTAAACTAATGAACATATTTACTAATATACAACTTATCTATGCTGAGAGCTGAATCAAAAGAATATATATACGTGTGTGTGTGTGTGTGTGTGTGTGTGTGTGTGTGTGTGTGTGTGTGTGTGTGTGTCTCTTTCTCTCTATATATGTATTTAATATGTATACTACCACTCGGGGTTCCACTCAGGAACAGGTAAATTATGAATTAACGCAGACAGGCACAAATAACACATGGGTAAATAATCAATCAGTACAGGTAAGTGTGAATCGAAGGGGAACAGGTATGAAACAAGAGGGTAGCAGGGAAGAGGTTTCAGTGTGGATTTCAGGGAGCCATATGTACATGAATCAACAATTATAAATTTCACAGGAACAACAAAATATGAGGCACTGTCACAAAATTTGAGGTGCACAATACTAGCAATAAAGTGAACTTATTAAAGGATCCCAAGGTCCAGGCCCTAGAGCTCTGTCAGTGTCAAAGGAACTAATGGGGAAGCCCCGAATAGCCCTTGGGATCACTCACCCCTCCCATAGAAGAACATGTAACTCGCAGGGTTTCCCTGGCTAGGTATGGGGTATTGCCTCTCCCATGTGGGACCCTTTTCCCCTGGCACTCATGACTCTGGGGTGGGCCCAGATGAATGGTCCTCCTCAGGTTGAGATGCTTCCCCTTTTGGCTACTGGTGGCCCTGTGCACCGTCATGTACACCGAGGGCTTCTCCTTCTGCTGGTGGCCGGAGGCCTGGCCCGCCTCGTGCAAGCACAGGGGCTCAGTCCCCTTCTGGATCCTCTGTGCAGTGTTGCCTGCACCACGTTCCAGGGCCCTTCTGGCCCCATGCACTGTCATGTGCACCAAGGTTCCGGCCTCATGCCGGGGTTGCAGATCTGAGCTGCCCAGAGAAGCTCCCAGGGTCTGAGCTCTGTGCACTGCTTGTGGACAGAGTGGCTGGAGACGCAAGCTGCCTGGCACTGCTCCCAGGGTTTTGTCCTGTGTGCTGTGCTGCGCATTGAGTGCTGGAGCTGACTGCTACTCCACGCCGCCACAGGAAGTCTTCAGAAGCCCTTCAGGGGCATTCGCTCTGCTGGCAGCTCTCCCAGCCCACCTAAGCTCCGTTCTTTTCGTCATCCCCTGTCGTGTCTGCCGCGTGCTGGGCATGCTGCTCCTTTCATTCTCTCCAGAGGCTCTGGCCCCAGAGTGCTGTCAGACCTGCAAGGTGCAGGCTTCAATCAGGTCTGGGGCTTTTTGCACGTCCCCCTCCCCCGGGCAGGGGCAGGGCCAGCCACTCCCAGCAATCACCTGATTGGCGGATGTGCTCCACCATTCACAACAAAGCTCCTCTGAACCTGGACTTGCTGGGCTGTATCACTAAGTCTGCCACACAGAAAAGTAGTGAAAAGCTAGACAACCAGAGAGAATAGCCACAAGAAAAACTGGGAGAGGTGTTTTGAGTTGAGTTCTGGCTCATTTGGGCTTTGAGCTATGAGCAAAGAAGCTAATTCTTTTCATTTGATTCTACCTGCATAAGAAAAGCAGGACTTTGTAAATTATTTGTAAACAACTAGGACTGTACCAAGGATATTCCATTCCAGTATCAATTTTTCCACCTAACGCAGACAAATCATGGGATCCTAAAATGTGGCTTCCCTTTCACGTCAACAAGTAATGCTGGTATTATATTAGGATTCCAGTTTCCGACGAGGGAAACTGAGCTGGTATTCCAGTTAAACCTAGATCAGGGATGGGTAAATACTTGGGCCAGAGGGCCACATGGGGAATTTTGATGAGCTGTGTTGACCCAGCCAGTGACTTCCTCCCCCTTGCAACAAATTGCCAAAACTCCCTATGGAGCTGTGGCTGGGCGGGGAGCAGTGTTTAGGATTGGGAGGGGTGGGTGAGGCTGGGATCATGGGGTTGGGTTGCTGGGTGGTAACAGCTCCAGGCTGGGGCCTGAGGCCTGCTCCCTACATACCCATCCTTGGGGGTCCAGCTTTGATAGTACCCTAAACTTCCTTTCAGAAAAGAGATGAGTTATCCGGATCTGCTACAAACATTCAACATGTGACTTGGAGCTAGTAATTCCTCTAAGATGGCACTGGCAGGACTAAGGGCTGGAAGAGTCCCCACCTGAGCTGGAAGAGGAGCAGGAGAGACTTAAATTCTTGGCATATTCAGGTACCAAAGAGGACTCTGGTAAATGAGCAGTGGATCAATTTTTAGAAACTTGCAGGGGGTTGGATTTACAGGTCAAAGGCAGTAGAAGGAGGCCAAAGACCTAGAACTGGTATTGCATTAAAATTACCTCTCCAAGGCATGTATACAGCTTTTAGGCATCTAAAGCAATACATATGAACCTAATTCACCCTACACAGAAGCAACTATGCCACCTGGGCATCCCAATTTCTTACCTATCTCCATTTTGGCCTTCTAAGCAGGCTCAAAGGTTCAACAAAGGCACCTATTTCACTTGCATGTTATTTCAATCCTGATCTGTCCTGGAAAGCATCTAAATTCTGCATAAGCCTAAATTCTGCATTTCCATCTTTAGTTGCAGAAAAACCACAACCAGGGATGGCTTGACAAAGAAGGGACCACCCACCTTTTAGCCAAATTGCCAGGTGTATCTTAATGTTTTGTTTGCCTGTTTGACAGGCAATTTGTATTGAGTAGTGTTTTTTACTAAACTATTGGTATAAAATAATACCCTGGGTTTTTTTTTTTAACTTGTATGTTTCCTTTAAGTCCATCAAAACACATAATTTAATTAAATTTAATTTAATCTTCATAAGTGGGTTGTTTTGTATTTGTCAGAATTTCTCTAACCCCATGTTGTTCCTTATAGTATTTTTCTAATCTAAACTAAATAATATTACAGAAAGATTTGCAAATGTTGCCACCTCACTGTTCCTCCTCTTTCCAGATCAATAGCTTCCAGAGCACTGTTCCTGACCATCCTATGCATTGTTTTCTATCTCTTGGCTAGTTTAGGCCCATAGGAACATAGGACTGGAAGGGGCTTGCTGGGGCACCAAGTCCAGTAACCTGTATTTTAATGCTATCATTTACCATGAGTGGTAGCCAATAGCCACAGGGAACTATTAAAAAAACAAAACAAAACCCAGAGCACCCTATACTATGACTTAGGCAAAAGCTAGGGAGAGATGCGCACTGCTAGCATCCTGTTTTAATGCAGGAAAGTACTTTTTGCACTTCTACCTTGATAAAGTTCCATGTAGTTACTTTATATTATATCCAGTAAAGGACTTAGGTGCTTAAAGCAGGACTTGAGGATTTAGTGTCTAATTCCGAAATTGCTCTCTCAAATTCCCCAGTCGGCTGTTGCCTAAGCCTCAGGGTGATTAAAGTCACAAGACACCTCCCTGTTTGACTCTAAGCATTCTAATATTATAAAAGCCTCAGTCGGTCTGTCTTTGTCCATAATACTTTATTCACACTCTGGTTGGTTGTCTGAATCAACCAATCATAGTGCTCCAACAGCATTCTGGACCAGCGGCAGTGGTGGCGGCATGGCCGAGTGCCGCTGTTGTGCCCCAGCTCAAGTCTGGGATCGTGCCCGGTATGCAAAGGCCAATAAAGATACCAGGGGTGAAAGTACAAAGAAGGTTTATTGTTTGCAATAAAAGGTGCAAGCGGAATAATTCATTTAACAAGCACACCAGATTACTATTTCTAAGCATCTTTTATACAGGAGTTTTCAAGCATTCGCAAGCGTGCTTGTTTGATGATTGGTTATAAGTGAGTGACGCAAGAAGTTCTTTACTGAGCATGTCTCTATACCTGTGTTTTAGCCATGTATCTCATTTACATACATGTGTGTTTCATTAGCGTACTTTTTCCCCACCCAGGGGTGTGATTTTTAGTATTTTAATGAGCCCTTTAACCCAGTACTCTGTTTCGTCTTTTGTTTTCAAGCCCCCTTTATCCGAGACTGTCTCCTCCTTATCATTGCAGATGGGCATTTTTCATGTAGCATTCTCTTCTTCTTATTGTCTCCGAGTAGAGGGTTCTAGGTCCCGCCTTACACCACCATGATGCTGAGGACAGAGCAGGGGGGCAAGGATGAGCACTCCTGGTTTTCAGACTAACCTGCAAAGATTAAATTGATTCAACCTTGGGCTTTTTGACTCTGTACTTAGCCCCAGTCTATATCACCCCCCTCCACAGTGCTTCCTGCTGCTGTCTCTTGCCTGCACATAACTTCATTGCAGAAACTGAGCATCAGTGGTGAGGGTAAGCATAGGTGGCATGAGTGCTCTGGAAGGTGGAGATTTGCAGCCAGCAGCAGAGGGCCAGATTGCAAGGGCTTTACTACTGTCACATTGATTTAATAACCTACTATTCTTGCTCCACCCAAAGTTCAAAATTGACTGCCTGGAAGTGGCAGCATTACTTCTAGTCAGGCAATGTAGTCACTTGACTTCATTATAATTATAATCCACTTGATCCCTTCTAAACTCTTAATTCCACAGGTGTTAAGACTGTGTCCTCTTTTTAATGGTCTTGATGTTCCACCAATCAAGCTAGCCTTCTGCAATTCCTTGGTCTGTTAGCCGCTCCTGGTAACAAAGCTCCTATTTCATAGCCTGCAGACTGTTTTTAACTCACTCCAATCAAGTTGTACTTTTTGCTTCCATCTTAAAATGAAGAGTACAGACCTAGGCCTCTTGCCTATTAGTAAAGCTTGTAATTTATTTTTAACTGCATAAATAATGTGGTGTTTTATATGTGATGAGCAGAGATCCTGGTTTTCTCTGATTTAAAAAAAATCCCCAATTTTCAGTTAAAGAAGTAACCCCAAATCCACATTTTCTGAGATTTAAATGAAACACTACTATTACTCTAATATTATAAAAGCCTTAGTCTGTCTGTCTTTTTTTCATAATGCTTTATTTGTACTTTGATTAGCTGACGGAAACAACCAATCAGAGTGTGAATACAGCATTTGGACAGGAGTCAGTGGTGTGCTGGAGTGCCGCTGTGATGGTGGGGACATGGGATGGAGCGGGTGGGGGACGAGGCCCATGTGGCTGGCCTCACTCCCACTGCTCTGCTCCCTAGAGGCGGTGGCAATGGAGTGGGTGGAACGGGAGGGCGCGGCCAGCCCCCTCCTCCCCCCTTGCTCTTTGGAGGTGGTGGCGGCAGCACAGGGGAGAGCAGGGTCAGGACGCTGTGGGGGGCGGGGCCGAGGGCAGCACTGGCCTTGTGCCCCCCTGCTCCCTATAGATGGGCCCCCTCTTCCATATTTGCCCAGCACTGCTGGCCCTCCTCTTTGTGCCAAGCTGCTCCCTCCTGATACAGGGGAGGAGGAGCAGTGGGCCCAGGCTGATGCGAGGGCAGCAAGGGGGAGAGGAGGAGCAGGCCCAAGTTGCGGGGGGGAGAAGCTGGCCTGCTGAGGTGGTGGGGGCTGGGGAGTACCACACCTGGGCCAATGCGGGGTGGTAGGGGGATAGGAGGAGTGGGCTCGGCCCTGAAATGGCGGCAGGGGAGGGGGGGGGGGCGCCTGGCCCAGCCTGCAAACGGAGGGTTGTGGGGAGCGGCCTGGCTCTGAAACAGTGGCGAACAAGGTGTGTGGGGGGCGGATTGGGCCCAGCCTGGCCCTAAAATGAATGGTATGGGGGGGGGCACTCTAGGCCTAGCCGAGCCCCAAAATGGTGGCAGGACGGGCGGACCCGGCTCTGCAACAGCGGCGGGGGGGGGGGGGGGGGGCCGGGCCGGGCCCCTGCAACAGCGGCGGGGAGGTTGGGGGGAGCCCGGCCTGGACCCGTGGTGGAGTGGGGGAAAGGGGGAGCTGGCCTAGCCCCAAAGGTAGGGCAGAGATGGAGGCCTGTGTTCAGCCTCTGTCTCTGCCCACACCTTCCACATATCACAGAAAAATGTGGATTTGGGGTTACTTTTTAAACTGCAAATTGGGGATTATTTTTTAATCCGAGAAAACCAGGATCCCTGGTGACGAGGCATCTCCCCATCTGCACCCCTGCTGCGGGGGAGCTGGCCTAGCCCCAAAGGTAGGGCAGAGATGGAGGCCTGTGTTCAGCCTCTGTCTCTGCCCACACCTTCCACATATCACAGAAAAATGTGGATTTGGGGTTACTTTTTAAACTGCAAATTGGGGATTATTTTTTAATCCGAGAAAACCAGGATCCCTGGTGACGAGGCATCTCCCCATCTGCACCCCTGCTGCCAAGGGCCCAGCTTTGAAGCGCTAGGTTGTGACGTGCCATTCTGGGAGGTGTTCCCGCACCCCGCTTGAGATCTAGCTGTTCAACCAGGTCAGTCCGGAGCAGAGGAGAGGGAGTGGGGATTTGATACCTAAAGGGCAATTACAGAGGGTGGAAACGGACTTTCCTCTGTGGCTGTAGCGGACAGGAGTAGCTTTAAGGAAAACAAGCGACGAGTTTGTTATTTATTCTCAGCCCCGGGCGAGGCAGGGAGCGAGGCCACGCCCCCAGCGCGCGCGGAGGAGAGCCGTGCAGGGCAAGGAGTCGCGCTCCAGGTCAACGCTGCGCTTGCGCGGCCTGGAGGGCGAGACCACGCTCGGAATAATGAGGGGGCACGGGCCCCTGCAGCAGGGAGTGGACCAGCAGGGAGGAGAGAAGAGTCGCCAAATTCAAACGCGGTGGGTCGCGCGCTCGCTTCTCTCAGCGGCTCCGGAGCGGCCCACGGTGAGTGCGGCCCGGCCGGAGGGCCCGCGGGCAAGGTGGGCTCCCGCCTCGCGCGGATGGGGGCTGAGCTGGGCGCAGCCGTGTCTGCCCCGCGGGGCCGCCGGTCTCGGAGGGCGGGAGCGGTCCTAGACCTCTCTCAAGGCGCGGCCCTGATCCGGCAGTTGGGACGTTTGGGGCGAGCCGGCTCGGCTCGGGTGTTGCCACTGCTGATGGCAGCTGGGCGTCCTCTTCCCCAAGCCCGGCCTTGAGTCTCTGGGCCCCGGAGCTGCGCGCTGGGCGGGGGGAGGGAAGCGCACTCCCACTCCTCCCTGCCTCCACCTTGCGCAGGATGCCGGTTGAGTGACTGCTTGATCTGCAGAGTACTTAAAAATTCGTACTCATTTTTGCTTATATGGTTAGTATTGTTGAAATCAATTAGACTATTTCTGGGGACAACATAATGCAAGTGCTGTGCAGGCTTAGACTGAAGTCAGTTTCCTCTGTAGTTTGTGT